CGTCAGGTTGACCCTAACCCGAATTTTTCGGGGTCGGATTCGGGTCGTGTCAAAAATTGACACCCCTAGGATGATAGGATGTTATATAGTGATTATTCCAGCAATAAATTGATTGTTTCTTTCTATTCTGAGTGATATATTCTTATCTGATAAGTCTTGTGAGTAATAGTTTTGAGCCGAAGTTCCAATGCAATGTTTTCGTATCCATCTCTAGCTAGTCGAGGATAATCATGGAAGTGTAGCAATGTTAAACATTTCAAAAGGTTTTATATCTAATAGTGCTATATTTTAACACTATGAACCATAAACAATGACATTAGACATGAGATTACATACTTGAATATTGCTCAAAACTTATTTTGACTGTGATCGAAATTCTTTCGACACAAAATCGAATAAATTTTATAGTGATAAAGATCTATGTTGTTTGATTTACAAAGTTTATAGTAATATTGATGTTGAACACCCAAATATCTTAAGTGCTTGGTTCAACTAAAGTCAAATTAGTCTATGCCTTTGATAATTACTCAATGAGGTCATCCAACGTGCTATATTAGACCAGGAATCAGGGAGTGTTACTCGCCATAAAGCCTAAAATATCTATATAAAAAATATATCTTGACAATTCGAATGCTTAATTCATAATTGGGTGATTTTGTTCTCGTTAAGAAAGCAACTCTATTCATTTAAATAAATAAAAATAAATATGTATATAGATATCCAAAAGAAAATTATAAATAATTATATCTAAAACACAATAAGTCAGCCTTCAAAATTTCAAGTTAGCGGACTTCAAATTAGTTGTTAAGAAGATGTACAACATATGCTTAAAATATTACCATTTATATTAAGGTTTTGTTTGAGCGGCTTTCTTATTGCTACGCAAAGCAGCTTCTTAGTATAAAAATTAAAAATTGTATATTAAAAAGCTGCTTTAAGAAGCAGTAAGAAAGTCATTCAAAACGAAGCCTAAGTTAGAAGACTTCCACCGTGCTCATTTTTTTTTCCAACAACAAACAAATTTTATTCCAACAGAAAAAGTGTACAACCAGCTTAAAAACGATACAAAAAAAGTTACAAATGAACAAAGGGTTAACAACCCATCAGGCTTAGTAATTGACAGTGGCTACCAACTACATCGAGGCCAGGCACGGGTCATCCAGTATGGAGTGAAACCAATAACACACCAAGTAGCCACGAGCAAGAAACGCACCACCAAAGGTTGCCACGACTTCAGAGAAGTGAGCCCTAGCCACATCATTGCCCATAAACTATCATTCACATCCGCAAATATTAAACGGCAACCACCAAAAGTAAGAGGTTTTGAAATAAACCATAATGCCTTCCAACCAAAGTAGCCCATAGCCACAACCCAAAGGAGAGAAACCGATGAATGGCCCAAAACACCACCACCACAATGAAACCAATAAGAAAAGAGAAGAGCCAAATGCATCTGAAACCAACACTATAACCCCAAAATCATTTCCTACCATGTCTACCCCTCCCTCAAGAGGAAACAAAAACAACAGGCCTGTCTTTCTGCAAAGATTAATCATAGATTTCTTTTTAAAAAATTTTGGACGAAGGAAGATAACTACTAAACTGAACTTCTTAACATTTTTTACTCAACCGATTCATGGGAATCACATTCATGGGTTGTACAACAAGCTTAAAAATTTCAAAGAGATCAACAAAGGGAAAGAATGGGCTAGTTCTTGTCATCTCTCTTTTACCATTTCCTCTCTTAAGGATCAACAAGCTCTTTATCTGGACATGCTAAATTCCAATCCTCAAAATTCTTCCTTGAATCATAGGTTCAAAAGCATCAATGCTCAAATTTTAGACTGCTCTTCTACCTGGACTAATTAGGTGCTTCAACGTGCTAAACTGAAGTGGCTTTCCCATGAGGAAGATGACTTAAAATTTCTTTATGCAAGGATTAGGAAGAGAAGGAATCATAGCTCATCTCATTTGGTTGCTAATGATGATCCCCTTGTCAGGCATGACTTGATAACTTCTATCATTCAACACTTTGAGAAGCTTTTTAATGCTCCTCCGCCCGCTTCTTTAAGTGAACTTTCCTCTATTCCTAAAGGTAATGTTATTCCTTTTCATTTAACTGATTTGCTAACTATGATGGTCTCTGATGATGAAATCAAGGAAGCTATCTTTAATGGGAACTCCAACTCCTCTCCTGGTCCAGACGGGCTTTATTTTGAGTTTTATAAATCCAACTGGCTTATCACAAATCCTTTGGTTTGGAAAGTTGTGAAATTCTTCTCTAAGGGGTACCTTCCTAATAAAATTAAGGCCACTGCTATTGCTTTGATCCCAAAATCTGCTAATGTCTCCAATATTTTGGACTTTAGACCCATTGCACTTTGTAATGTCTTTTATAAGATAACATCCATAATATTGGCTTCAAGGATGAAGGATATTATGCCGACTATCATTGGGGAAAATCAAGTTGGTTTCATTAAAAATCGTATTGCTACTGATAATATTCTTTTTGCTTCTGAATTGCTTTTGGAATTCAAAAAGTCGGCTAAAAGAAAATTGTTGTGTGCCAAATTGGATATATGTAAGATTTTTTATTCTGTTTCAAGAGATTTTCTTCTAGCCAGAATGAGACCAAAAGGCTTCCCCCACATCTTTATACAATGGGTTAAAGCTTGTATTTCGGAAGTCTACTTCTCTATTTGTATTGATGGAACTCTGGAGGGTTATTTTAACTCCTCCTCGGGCCTCAGACAAGGATGCCCCCTTAGCCCTTATTTGTTTTGTATTGTGATGGATGCCTTTACTTGTATGATGGACAATCCTAATACTCCATATAGATTTATTGGGATCCAAACGAAGGATATGAAACTTACTCACCTTCTATACGCTGATGACCTTCTCATTTTTGGAGAAGCCTCGAAGCAGAACTATGAAGTTCTTTTGGATGTTTTAGACTTCTTTGCTAAGGTGTCTTAATGATAAATCATGAAAAAAACAAGCTCATTATCTCAAATTTCATAACTAATCCTATGGATGTACGTGGGGCCCTTAATATGCATTCTAATTGTGCAAAGATGACATACCTTGGAATTCCCATATCACCCAAAAAGCATTGTATAGCTGATTTCCAACCTCTCATGCATTCCATTTCTAATCATTTAGCTGGTTAGAAAGCTAGATTGTTATCAGTTGCGGGTCGTCTTCAATTTCTAAAATATACGGTTTGGAATACTATTTCCTATTGGATTAGGGGAGCTATTATACCCAAATCCTGTCTAAAGAGCTTAAGCAGGATGTGTGCTAGATTCCTTTATTTTGGAGATACGGAGGCAAAAAAATTACACCTTATAGCTTGGAAGAGAACTTGTAAACCTAAAAAGCATGGAGGGTTGGGCATTCCGGATCTTCATGCCCTTTAATTTGCAAACTATTGTTATCTATTTTTCAGATTTTACAACTCTAAATCTACCCTATTCACTTATCTGAACACTAAATTTGGTACTCCTTGGACCCCGATTCACTCTAAAGCCTCATCCCTTTGGAGAGAAATTGGGAAAGTGGCCTTGCAAATTTCACCCAGTATTATTTTTAACATCAAAACTAATAGTCATATTGCTATATTTATGGGATTCGTGGATTGGTGGTAGGTCCTTTTGACTGTTCTTCCCAACTGTAACTTGGAAACTTCTATTCAACATCATGCTAAGGTTTCTGATTTTCTGGTGGAGGGTGATTGGATTTTTCCGAGCAATGTTAAAGAGGTATTATCTCAAACATTGGGGCAAATTTCTAGATCGTCTTACTCTAATTATGCTATTATTTGGAAAGATAGGAAGCAACTTTATTTTTCTTTTTTTTTTATCAAATTTTACTATCGGGAGGAGGCTATTACTGATTGGTATAAATTTGTGTGGCACAATTATCATGCTATGAAATATTCAATTTACACTTGGATTTTTGTTAATGGTGGGCTTAAAACGGTGGAGGAGCTTATCAAAAGAAACATTGTGGTGCAGCCAAATTGCTTTTTATGCTCTTCTCACCATGAGACTAATTTTCACATCCTCTTTGAATGTGACTATGCCTTTTCTGTCTTAAAATTTTTTTCCCTATTTTTGGAGATTTTCTTTTGAGACCTCGGCTTCTTCAAGTTATTTAATTCTTGGATGAAAGGAGATACTTGTTGAAAAATCAAAAAGATTTTCTCCTCCTTACTATTTTTTGTGCCACATACTATCTTTGGAGGGAAAGAAATGAAAGAAGATTCAACTTTAAATTTAGAAGTGTCTCAACTTTATGTTATCTCATCAAATTGGCGGTAGAGGAGAAGGTATCCACCTGGAAGAACTATGATAATCTGAGAATTCCTTGGCCTTCTTAATGTTGTTTTGGCTGGGTGGTTATTCTTGTACCTGATTGGTTTTTCTGATGGAAGTATGTGATTTTTTGGGTTGGAGGATTATTGCTTTCTGCTATCAAGGTTGGTTTTGTTGTTTTTTTGAGCTGATCAGGTAGGAAGGGTGTCCTGGATGGAATTTTTGTTCGGATCCCGAGCAGCTTGCGTTGGTTTTTGATTGACTGCTTATGGCTGGAACTCTTTCTCGGAAAGTTTCTTGCTGCTCTCGAAGTTTCAGGTCCTTGGATGGTCTTTTTGGCAACCTTGGACTGTTCTATTTGGCAGATTTTCGATGAAGGACGATGATGTAGCTGCTAATCATCTCCTTGAAGGGCCTATTGGGCAACTATGAGGTTTCTGTTCGGTGACACTGGATATCTGTTGGTTTATGCGATTAGCAGTCTGGGTTCAATTTTGGTGCTCTTGCCTATTATTTTGGGTAGCTTCTTCACTTTGTATTTTTTTGTTTTTGACTCTTTGGGAGGTATAGGTTTTTTATTATTACTCTTCTTATTTGTATGAGATCTAATCTTTTTATTATACCTTATATGTAACCTTTTTTTACATAATATATGGGCTGATGCCCTCAATTTCCCCAAAAAAAAAGCACTATTTTCAATAATTTACACCTTGTATGTCCAGCCATCGCCGGCCACCACCGGTCGAGCCAAAGAGATACAAATCTGGGCCTCTGCTGACAGCTCGCCGCATTCCTCTGCGTCGAAGCTCGCATGAACGCCATAAAGTAAGTAGAATACGACGGAAAAAGCCGTGAACAGACCAAATCGAACGTACGACGGCCGGTCAAGCAATCCGAGCAGAAAAACGTTGAGAAAAATGGAGATCGCCGGTACGACCGGCATCAGCGGCAAGCCCCACAGCTCCGGCTCCCTTGCCTGTGGGACACACAACCCGAACACGCTGAGCGACGCTGCCGCCGCGACGGCGCTGCCGGAAAGAATAAACGTCTTGAAGGCGCCGCCGCCGGTCGGGAGGAAACGCCAGCAGAGAGTAAAGGCGATGGCGGAGAGGGAGAAGAAGATGAGGAAGATGGCGGTGGGCCAGGGATTGGTTGACCCCACCGACACGTAACGCCGGTAAATGACGGCGTTAGCCACCATGTAGAAGACGAAAAGGGTGCCGATCGTTACCAGGTTGAGAAGCACGTTGAGGTCCGTGAAGAGCGCAATGGCAGCCGTCAAGCCGCCTGAGAAAATAATTCACAAATAGGCCCCTAGAACTCGATTTATTGCAAACAAAAAGAGGTTTTTAGATTTTTACCGAGGAAGAGAGAGGCGTTCACAGGCGTGGAGGTGGCGGGGTGAACCTTGGCGAGCCGGGCCGGAACAACGTGGGCCCGAGCAATAACGCAGAGATATCGGGCCTGGCCCAACATCGAGACAAGGATTGAGGTTAATATGCCGAAGCTGGCCCCCACGCCGATCACATTCGAGACCCATCCCCAGCCGTCCGATCCCTTAAACGCAGACGAGAACGGAGCCTCACCGTCGATCTGCGCCACCAAAGAAAACATTTTATCATTTGTAACAAATAAATAAATATAAGTAAATATTTTAAAATTTTATAAGTATTTTTCAAATAAAATATCATATTTCGACACAAAGGATATGGTTATATAACTTTAAGTAAGATTAAAATATAATTAAAAAGAAAACTAATTAATTTTGGCATAACGGTCTAAAATTGGGATAAAAGCATAATTTCCAACGATTCTTTAATTTTTTACTCAAAATTTTATCAAAAAACCAT